CCGGGCGGCCCGCTGCAGCAGGGGCTCGCCAGCATTCTTATTGACAATGAGTCTCCGCGCTTCCGGCGGCATCGGGCGAGACTGGGTGGTCTCTTGGGGGGAACTTGAGCGTGGCAGCTGCGTGGACTGGGAAGACGGTAGCAATTGCTGCAAGCGGTCGAAGGGCTTCGGTTCCTGCTTGGCTGGTGATAGATCGTAGTCTGAACTGGGCTCGGGTCGCTTCCGGAATCTCCGGACGGTCACCTATCACAAAACCGGGCAGTGTGCACAGTCAAGGCTGTGTCCTTCCAACACCCGCCTCTTTCCCCCCTCCTCCTCCTCCCTGCGCAACAAACTGCTCCTGGAGGATACTTTTTCCCTGTGCCTTTTCTTCCCGATGGGGGTTGGGGGGGTGAGTGTCAAAGGAGGGTTGGGGGAAGGGTTTTCCTTGTGACTAGTTTGAAACTTCCGAGTCCCCCAGGAGACATGCCTCTCTAGGCCAGGGGAGTGACGTGAAGGGGAGGAGTCAGGAAAGGAAAGCTCTGTCCCCAGGAGAGGCAGAGAAGCTCGCACAGCCCCAGAGGAAAGCAGGGGTCAAGAGGTACCTTGCCGTCAGCATTCTCCACATAGTAGTCCCCCGTCAGCGACAAGCCGCGCCTGGGTTCCTGAGGTATCAAGTGCTTGGTTTTGCACAATCGCTTCCCCGATGGCTTCTCGCTGTTGTCGGTGTATTTCTGCAGCAGGGAGGCAGCCTGGCAACCCTCTTCCTCGTCTGTGCACAGCACATCTGTCTTCTGGCTTTCTTTAATTTTCTGTTGTTTGGCAGGCGGCCTCGAGGCTGGCGTGCAGCTTGGCTGAGTCTGCTTTTTGCCGCTTGCATTGGTGGATGAAAGGCTCTTCATGGGCGGAGAGCCGGAGAACACAGGCAAGCCTAAATACGGAGGGGGTGGCGGGCGGGCAACTGGAGCGGCTTTAGTTTTTTAAGATATACCAATTATGTTTTCAAAGCATTAATATTTTAATTATCCCACAGTCAAACGGCAAATAGGTTAACCCACGAAATGCCAAGTGCTAAGTTTCTTCCAAGAGGACAGAAGCCAGCTCTTCCTGCTTCCCTGCCCCCACCCACTGGGCCAGGATGCCAGGCGTCTGCCAAGGCTGGTCAGCTGGGGTGCTCGGGACCCAGTGATTGGAGACTGCCTTGGGTCCGGATCAGAGTGCTTAGCAAGGTCCTCCAAGGGGCACCCAGACTCCCCCCCGTTGGCTTGCTGCGCTCCGTAAGGAAGGGAGGCAGCAGTGGGAAGAGGGTGTGCGAGGACCTCAGGAGAGAACTCCTCACCTACTCTATCCTAGCCAGAGCCGACCTCTGCAGCCTGAGGTCCCCTCTGAAGCCCTTTCTGGCTGAGTAGGGGTGATACCCCCTCCAGCAGTGGGGCCGGCACTCAAGGGGAGCCTGTGCGTACCTTGCTCATTGTCACTGGATTTGAGGGACTCTTCTGACCAGCTTCTGTTGCCTTTGGCCTCTGCCCTTTTCCTGCTGGCTTTCTCTTCTGGGATATTCCCCTGGGCAGTGCCCTCGGGCTGAACTGCCTGGCTCACTTCCTTCCTGCTTTGACGGCCAGGTTTGCTCTCTGCTGGCGACACCTGCTGCTCCCACCGTTCTCTAAGGTGCAGCAAGTGGCGTTGCTTTTTAGGATGGAGCCCTGTTAATTCAATGCACACCTTCAGGTTGGTCAGCTCACTATAATGTGGGTCTTCTAAGTGGTTAGAGGAACTGTTTGTCATTTCCCTCTCAGGCCAGTCATCTAATGGAGAAATAACTACAAATTAATCAAAAAGCCCCCTGGGGGGGAACAAACTGTCTTCCGCATCACTAATAGGGCAGGGGGGAGGGGAGGGGTGTGGCCCGGTCTCTGTTGGAGCCTGTCCCAGAATCTTGGGAGGGGGCCTACTTGTCTTTGGCCAGCCCCTGCATCTAGCTTCGGAAGGAGGGGGGCGATGAGTGGCTTCCCTGGACTCCAGGGTGGGGGATAGCACCACTCCACGGCTGCACGCACGGGTCCCCCACCGCCTCTGTCTAAGGGGCAGCCCACCGCACCTCGCACCCGTTGGCTCATAGTGGCCGCATGCATAGGCCCCGAGCAGGCAGCCGAAGACGACCGAGCTCACCTTTAGAGACCCGTCTTCGCTTGGCTTTCAGGAGAGGGTCCTCTGGCATCTCTTCCACAGTAGTCTCAGTGTGGCTGCTGTCACCTGAGACTTTGCGCTTCCTGTCCAGCCGGAGGGTGGGGCTGTGCGGCACATCCGCAGCGGCCTGGTCAGTGGGTGGCTCGCTCCCAGGCTGCCTCTCCACAAAGTACTTCTCCACGGGAAGATCTTTGTCCTCCGGGCCTTCAAAGGGATCACGTTTGTTCCCTGCAGTATACTCGCCTAAAGGCAGGGGAGACAAGGATACAAAAATGAGAAGCCGAAGGTCATGGCTGGATTGGGAAGCAGGGGGGACTGCCAGGCCCAAGGTCGTCGGCTAGTAACAGCACCTTCAGTGAAGGCTGAGATCCTCACACACCGGAAGCAGAGGACTCTCAGAAACAGCACTTCACGGAGGGAGGGCAAGCGGAAGGCCATCGGCAGGTAAAGCGGAGAAGCAAGGCATGTTTCACACCCGTAAGTCTTGGCTACTGGAGATGGGAAGGAGCCAAGATGAGGCAAAGACACCTTTTGAACGCACTGCAGCGCTTCCAGTAGTTAAGCCCACTCAAACCAGGGCTGCCCTAACAATCTCTACAGAAGCGTTTGCCGAGGTCGTTATTTTGAAGCAAATGGAATGTGGATAATCACAAGACCAAGTTTCCTCAAAATGTCATCAAAGGAAGGGAAATGCCCATATTTTCCTGGGCCAATGGGGGAGATGATGAAGTAAGGGGGTTGGGAGACGATGTTGAAAGAAAGTTGAAATCTGGGACCGGCAGATGGCATAATGGTTACATCGCTGGACTCCCATGTAGTTGACCACGGTTCAAGTCCCAGACCCAGCAGCTTAAAATCCACACTGGGTGTGTGTGTGCGTACGTGCTCAAAATCCTGAGAGGAGACCGGAGGAGAAGGGACTGCGGTGTGGCCATCCCCCAGGGGGCGCGGGTGATTTCTTGCTTTATGTCTCTCTGTCTCTCCCATGAATGCCCACACCCTAGAGCAAAAGTCTCTCTCGCTTAAAAAGAAACAGAGAGAGAAAGAGAGAAAGAAAGAAAGGCTAGATCCTTGATGGGCAGAGCCAATGGCCTCTTGCGGAGGGCTCCAGACCTGAGTCCAGGCCAGTGCTGGTGCCTGCAAAATGGGCAGAGGGTGGCAGGAAACCCAGGCAGACTCAGGGGGCTGGGCAGACGGGCCTGGCAAAAGTAACAGCAAGGTTTTCTAGTCCATGCACAAGTTCAGAGGCAACTCCAAAGAGCTCAGTCTGCTGGCTGCACATGCACGGAGGGAAAAGCATCCCACTGAAATCAAGGGGCTGCTTCTATTTCCTGTCGAAAACAGAGGGACACTCCCCCGCAACCCAGGATGCTAGCCACTCCAGCTGGCCCTCCTCCTCTCCACAAACATCTACAGACAAGACTCCAACCCCTTCATGGCTGGCTGAGTCGTCTCTGCCAGGACACTGCTTTCAAAACCACTCAGTCCAGCAACCCTGTGCTGGGCTCCTCACCCACATGGGATATTTCCTTGAATTGTCTCGGCCCAACGCCACTTCCTGCTTCTACTTTATCCCAAGATATCAGCTCATCAATGCCTTTACTGTTGTATATTTTTTCCTACTACCCAGTAAAATATGAATGACTGGCACATAATGACCACCATCAGGTTAATGCTAGCCTATACCTCCTGCTCCCCAGCTCATGGAAAGGTGAGGATGGGGATCCAGCATGCCGCACGTGAGCTCGCCTTTGGCCCCTGAATTGATCCTGCATATCCCGAGGTTTGAGTCTGGCAACACTGGGCGGAGTTGCAGAAGCCAATTTCTTGACAAAATGCTAAGCATGGACCTCCTGTGCTGAGTTCATTTCTGCCTCCCTCGGCCCACATCAAATCCCAGGTCCACTGCTGACCAGCCCTGCACGCCCCCATCAGCTTTCTCCTGGGGGCATTCCCAGCATTTAACGGTGGTCGGCTGTGGGGGTGAGCTTTGCCCTGGCCTTGGCTAACCTGTGCTCTCGATGGTGGAAGGACCCATTCACCCCCTCTTTCAAGGGCATCCCAAAGTGAGTTAAATGGGGCTATCCTCTCACAAAGGAAGGCGACCATTCCTCCTCACTCCTGAAAGTGCACTGAATGGACTGGGAGAGGTCCCCTCCAGGGAATACCACCCCAGGCCTCTGTAGGCATGCCTGGCACTGAGTAGGCACCTGAGAACACGGCCAAAGAGGGCCCCCCTATGTCCCAGCAGAGCCCTAACACGCAGGCTGCCCAAAGCTCTGGTTGTGTTCCTAGACAGGACGCGTGCTGCACTTGGCTCGGCTGGGGCATGCAAAGAGGGCGGGCTGTGGGTTTTCAGCCTGCGACCCTCTTAACTGCTCTGGCAGTAACAGCATGGCTTTACAACTCGGCCCCCTTCAGTTGTAAAGTGGGAATATTACTGCAAGCCGCCTCCCTGGGGTGGGCTTCATAAACACAGGCTGAGCCAAAGGCCGGAGAAATTACTTCCGAAAAGGAGCTACGGCCCTCAGACCAGCTTGAATTTTAGTCCCGATATTTGTGAAATTTTAAGATGTGAAGTCTCCTAGTTATACCATTTGATTTCCCCAGTCCAATCAGCCCTCCCTGAAAGTCCCATGGGAGAGGCTGGAGACACGGTGTAAAAACATAAGGACTGTCTTAAGAAACACCAGGTGCAATTTTAGAAGTGTACCTTTAAGCCCTAAAACAAAAAATTTGCCAGGACCAGCAGTTGGCTAATAATGGCTATGTTGCTGGACTCCCATGGAGCCGACCATGGTTCGAGTCCCGGACCCGGTGGCTTAAACTCATGCTGGGTGCGTGTATATGTGTGCCCAAGATCCCAAGAGGAGAGAGGAGAAGAAGGGATCGCGGTGTGGTCATCCCCCCTGGGGGGTGATTTCTCACTTTCTGTCTCTCCATCTGTCTCTGTCTCTCTGGAGAGCGCACATGCCCTATAGCAAAAACCTAAAAAATTGCCAGAGAGCATGTGTGTTCACCAGAGAGAGAGGTATAGAAAGCAGCTGACTCCATGAGGAGTGGTCGCTCCACAATCCCTTCTCCTCCATTTCTCCCACTTCTGGGATTTGGGGCATGCATATGTATATAGCAGGATGCACGACTCGAACCGTGCAGCCAGCCATGTGGGACCCAGGACCCTTAACCACCACATCACTGGCTGGCTCTACTTTAAGCTTTGAAAGTGGACTCCTCCCACCCCTAAGGAAAGATGGTTCAACCCATGTGGTTTGAAAGCAGGACACTGGGAGATGTCACAATGCCTTCCAGGGCGACCATTAGACAACAACTTGGCCACTGTGGGGCCCTAGGCATAATGAACCGCCCTGCCCTGCCCTGCCCTGCCCTGCCCCTCTTCCTGCAATGGACCTTCCCTTCCCATCAGATTGAGAATGTCTCAACTTGGCATCACACCCTTGAACTCCAGGCCTCACACAGCCACCTGCGTGCAGTACTGACCCTATCTAAGCCATCTTTCTCACGAACGTTTCCACCCAAGTTTTCACGCTCGCTGCAAGTAGTGAAATGCGTTTATACCTCGCACATCTGACCTTTCGCCAAGACGGCTGGCATCTTTTGCCCGCCGAAAACCACCTGGAAAGCCGTATTTCACAGGCTGGCACTAGCGGGCAGTCATCAACAGGACCTGTCTCCCTGCTCCAAGATGACTCGGAGCACCCCGGGAGACAAGGGCTTTCGTTATCTCTGTCCTCTCCAGGGTTTCCCATATGGGAAAAGCTGTGGGACGGCAAGCGGGGGCTCCCCTTCACACACACAGCATGCGCCCCCATTCACGGGAGGCCAGCTGGGGAGCACAGCACGCAGCACGCAAGCTCCACGGACTCCTCTCCTCACCATTCCCCACTCAGCTGGGGGTGGTGCTGGGAGGCTGGGGCTCACCTCATGGACCGCCCCCCCCCCTCCTGCCTCCGGAGGGACCCCAGAGAGCAATGCCTGAGGCGCCTCATCCTGAGCCATCAGCA